GTGTATTTAGAACATAATAAATATCTTGACAATACGTCTCCGTTACCCATGTGTACCCCATTAATGGAATGCTCAATAGCTTGGTGATGTCTTTATCTTTTGCTGCCATCTCAAGATTTGATAGGTATAACAAATCACCGGTTGTGATAACTCCAGTTTCATACGCGTATTTTATGTATTGGATTCTCTCATAAAATTCTTTCGGGAGCTCTCGTAGTGGATTTCGTCGTCTCGTTGGCCTCTTAGGTGGCTCGAGAAGTTTTAGAGGTTCCGCAAGTATTGCCGACCTTTTTTTTAGACGCCACTGAAAAATAGCAGGAATGGCCGTTCCAGTAATTGCTGCCACAGCTTCAACAAGACCATAAATATCATGAATCTCAGAAGGTGGAGGAGAGCTTCCGTAAGTCGGCTCGGCAAGCATTTTGAACTCCAGACGGCTTAGACAGTCTGTTATGAGAGTCTCCGAAACATTTCGACACAATGCAGTGACGCCGAATCTGGGTATTCCTCTTTCAGGGCCCGGGGGTTGAATATCGAGATTACGAGTCATGACTAAATCGCACGTTTCATCCACAGTGTCCAGGTCCACAAAGGGCAAGGGCGCGTTTGTGTGAGCATGAATGAGGACAAGATGCTCCAGTGCCCGAGTAGCTGCTACGTATTGCGGATTGGTGACAGCAATGGGATCTTCTGAGACCTTATTAAAGTAGCTGTGATATGCCTGATCAAACCCAAGAACAATCGAGGCCTTACGCTCGATTCCCTTTGCTTGGTGATAAGTGCAAATCAGTACTTTTCCATGAGCAACTTCAGGTGCGATTTCTGATATATCCGAGTCTGATCTGAATACAGGAATTCCTCGGAGTGCAAGATCATTAGCGAGATAAATTGCAGGCGAGATACCACGCACCGATGGAGAAAGGACTATTATGTCATTTGGGGATATGCCAGGAAATTCCAGAAGTCGTTGTACCTCGTGCACTAAGTCATCATATGGATCGCATATAACATAGCGTGGTTGAGGAAAAGGCCGACCTGATGCATCATGGGATTTCACAGCCCGCATGGGCTTCCCACTGGGATCTCTGAGAAGTTGCTGATTGATGAAGTCAACATTGGATTGTGTCATACGATTTGAGGCAGTCTGATCCGCCAAGATCCATTCTTGGTCATTTATATAGCCGAAAACTTCAGGACGATTAGCCATGGACAAGAATCGCGAATCGGCATTGTTAAATCCATAAACTTCTTGACGTCTATCTCCCAAAACTACGACTCTCAACGGTTGTTCTGCTTTGGGCTGTCGATTAGGCCCGATAAATCCTTTGTCACGTAAGACCTTATCCACGAATCGTTTCAATATTGGTGTCATATCCTGCTGCTCATCCAGAATCAAGACCGAAAATTCAGGAAGTTCCATGTTTTCAAAGATATTCATGTCATCCTCCACAACTCGCTTGAGACCTTGATCGGTAGCACATTCTGACGTGTAGTATTTAGCTCCTAGAGTATGATAGTTCTGTACTGTCACATTGGTCAAGCCCAAATCTTCTATCCTCTGTTTTGTCTCTAACATCAAGCGCCGATTGTAAACCAATACTAGAAACCTGGTATCAGGTGCAGATTGTGCAAGATGTAATATGGTGGTCGTTTTTCCAGAACCAGCACATGCATCAACGATAATGTTCTTTTTGGTATGTAGCAATGTGTCAATAGCGATTTGTTGTTCGGGAGATGGTGGTAACAAGGGCCTGGGTGGTCCAATACCCCGGACAGCAGTGACCGTCTCATCAGGAACACTTTCCGCTACTGCAGCCGCAACATGCGCGAATTTTTTGATGCAGAGGACGATATCATGAGGTAGACCGGCTTTCTGACCCAAGATTGTCCATGGCAACGCGCTTGGCGAGTATGGGAAGAGATGCCTAGGATGACGTGGAGCCAAAGATGTGCTCAACGTCACAAACGGCCGTCGAAGGCAACCTCGAAACATGGTAGAGTCGAAATTAATATTGATTATTAAGTGAACACGTGAAAAGGGAGCTCAGGTTGCATGTGTAACTTCAATTTTGACGATGGGCGAAGGAGGTTGGAGTCCTCTCGGCCGAATGAAGTGGCAAACGTCACCACATGCAACATATTGCTTTTGATGAAACCGCGATTAAAAGTACTGGGAGTATGATCCAAACGCGAGGAATGTTTCCTGAGTTATATTGCTTTTGACATATCTCAATAAGGAACTACTAACAATTGTGATATATCGGCATTTGATTCTCTTACAAGGAAGACGGGTGGAGCAAGAGCTATTGACGTTATCGATACATGATGTAGCAAGCTGACTAAGCAACACAACGAGAAAATGGCAGAACACATATAGAATTAATTTCAATACTTGAGATACACATCCTATTGAAAGCATAGAATCCGACACGGTATTGTTTTTCAAGTATATAGTTAATTAGTCATAAAGTGAGGGCATCATATTCAAAAGAAAGAAGTCTCCTCGTCTAGTCCATTTCCTGAATCAGTTTCGGACAACCGACTCTTATTTTTTCCTATGACACTCAATACCTGTGATTCTCTTTCCTGTGCCCTATTCCCCTAATGTTCCTCCCTGAGTTGCAGTCTACAATTTTCTCATTTTGGGATTTCTCCTCGAGCACCCTAACAACAAATGTCTGACGACTCTGACATCAACCTCTTGACCAATAAGTAAAACCTCTAATATTCACCACTTGTTGCCCCTTTAAAAGATTAAAAAACAGACGAGCCTGATTACAATCCTCCTTAACTAAACTACACTCACCACCAAGGATTCCCCTCACTTCATATGACGACCTGTTTCACCGACCACATACCGAGTCACTTATCAACGTAAGAAATGCACATTACCAAAATACTCATGTGTGCTGTATGAAAATTTACAATGTGGTATTTCAGGGGGTGAAATCATATTTCTGCAATCTCCCAAGGCTTGAACTCCTCGGATTCAAAAGTGTTTGAAGAAAAGATACAGAAGTGTCTTTTGTACACCGAGACACGTGATAGTTGTGCGGTGCGTTTTATGATGCATGCATCAGTAAAACACTCAACATTTCGCACAATATCAAAAAACAGATTAGAAGTTAATTATCAACGGGCGAAATCATTGATCCCCGCTCCGAGGCAACAAATGCGACCAACATCGTTGCGACTCAACAATTGCAGAATGCAATGCTACTACAAGTGCAACGCAATGGCCCTTATTCCTGATGCAGAATTGGGAAGCGATTAATGTGATGATTACCGTGCCGCACAATAACATCAGATACGCCTATCTAGATTTCTAGTTTCAAATCGCCGACGCCAATCCTTTCATTTCCACTTTCTGCAGCAAAATTTACTCCATGATGAATCTCTCTAAAATGGATGTTTGCGCCTTATAAATGCCCGCGAGGATCAGACTTGAGCTTGTAGATGCATGAAACTATATCTGAATTGGATTTGGGGGTGTCTCACTACCCCATAACTACTTTATTCCTGGCCGTGGACTCGTGGGGTAAGCTTAATAATTCTCCTTTCTTTGAAAAATATAATATCTTGTAAGAGTCCAAGAAGGTAGTATTGATAATCATCAAAATGGGAATTGGTAGAGGATCAAGGCATACGAGCTTACTTGTATTCTTATTTGCAACGTCCGAAACTTCTAGGATGCCAAACAACAGAAACAGGTCAAGGGACAAAGCCAGAAACCCTGAAAGTGGCTGGTGTGATGACAATATACGTGATGGAAAAACGAGATAAAGGATACCCACCTGGTGGTTACATTACCTTCAGATGAAGAAACGAGATACTTCCCGTGGGGGTTGTAACGTCTTCCTACCTTGCAATAAACCAAGTGAGTTCATGAATAAAAACATGAAGATGCATGGCAACCAGGATAATTCATCCTTACACCAGCTCGTCCCGCTCCGAATCCATGTTCACAGAAGTTTAGAATGTATATCTATTTTTTTTTTTGAGAAATACCCATCAGTCCTCCTTATTTCCAATTGTATGTGGTTCGTCTCGTGAGACTAGGTGGTCGTGTTTGTGCAGTACGGTCTCCGTGTTACGATGAAGTACATGATAGATGCAATCACTGTTGTCAGCCCTGCAGTCGTTCCGTATCATGTTCGTGTATGTGAATGTGAATGTTGAAGGAGGCGTGTTTCTCAAAAAGATTCCATCCTGACACCTGAATCTTTCTGCGAATCGTTTCGAGAGGTAGATAGCACTTTCTTCATGTAGATGTGATTGGCTTCCACGGTATTGTGTCGGCTCTAGGGCACGAATTCCATGCTCTGGAAGAGAGATCTCTCTGACTGAGCCGACGCACCATTGTCTACGCGCCGATTGTCTGCTGGTTTCGACTGTGATGAAGCATGTAGAAGGGATTGGGGGCTGCAATGAACGTAATGCACCATCGTACTCACCTAACATATCTCCATCACCAAAAGTTAGCTTGAATCTGAGATGGGTAAACAGCATGAAGGACGTTTTCATACCAAGTGTTGCCAACTCTCTGCGGTCCCTTGGCCGGGACTTCCGTGAATTATCAGGGAGCGAAACTCTCATTACCCGTCACTTTCGTAAGGCGTTCGTCTTTGACGATAGGTATTGTGAATCTCACGCCGCCAACCAGCCTACAAATAAACAAATTCATTTGGGTCAGCAAGTTGCATTTGTGTCTGGAATATAATTGGTCGTGTCAGCAGGCTGCATACCACTCGCACTAGTTCCCCCTGTTCATCCAATGAAACTTTTCTTCTTATCATCAAAAGCGGAGTCAAGAATTCCGGATAACAGCCTCCTCGTGTAGCCTCGTCAACTTTCTCGTCTTTACCTGCAAAGTAAAATTGTATATCATTCACACATTCCTCGTATCACAATATGTTTTCTTTCTGGCCCCAATTGCTCAGTCTTCCTCTCTTACAGCTCCCACCACAATTCCCACCATAAATTCTCTTTCAAAAGGCATCATGCATTTAATTCTAACCGGCGCAACTGGTCTCGTCGGTTCTGGCATTCTCCAACAGATGCTCATACACCCCTCAGTCACCAAAATATCAATCCTCTCTCGAAACCCTGTTCCCCTTGCTGAAACACACGCAAATAGCAAAAAGGCAACTGTCATCATCCACTCTGATTTCAAGAATTACCCGGAGACTGTTTTGGAGCAATTGAAAGGAGCAGAGGGATGTGTTTGGGCTTTGGGCACTAGTAGCGCGGGGATGGATAAGGAGTGAGTCTTCCTGTGTACTCTGCACCGACGGGAGCTTATGAGTTTGAAGAACAATGTTAACAAATCAATCATAGAAAATATACCGAAATAACCCAAACCTACACCCTCCGCGCCGCGCGGACCTTTTCCCCTCTCTCCTCCCCCAAGCCCTTCAAATTCCTCTTCGTATCTGGCGAAGGCGCAACCACGACCCCCGGTATGCTGACACCTATGTTCGGCGTTGTAAAAGGTGCAACTGAAGCCGAATTGCTCGCTCTTCCTACAGAAAAGGGTTATGAAAATCTCAAAGTATTCAATGTGAGACCAGGGGGTGTAGACTCTTCTGAACATGAAGAGATCGAGGAATTTGTGCCGCAGAGGAAGGGTCTCTTAAGATTGGGGGAAATGGGATTTTTTCCTATAGTGAGGCTTGTGGCTAGGAATATGTATACGCCAACGAGGGAGATGGGAAAGGTGGTTACGGAGTTGATGTTGGGGAATGGAGAAAAATTGGAAGGGAGCGGGGTTATAGAGGGGAGAACTTTGAGTAACATTGGATTGAGGAGGATGGGAGGATGGTAAACAAGGAAAAGAGGTTTTGGGCACAACTCTCATTTGGTAATAGAGCAGTTTTAATATAGTATTGAAGAGGACTTCATTTACTCTCATTTCATCTCATTTCGAGACCCTATGAATATCTACCTATCTTCAAATCTTTTTTGATAGCTAATCTCTGTAGCTCTATATATTCCTCTCCATTCCCTCCATTCCACCCGAAATCCTCCCAATAGAAAAGTCCTGACACATTCCATCTTTCCATCTTTCCATTCATCCATCCATCCCATAATACAAAGGAAATCCAAATGACAGACAGTGTAGTATAACATCTCCCCCAAGCCAACATTCCCCTTTTAAGAATTAAAATAAAATTGGTATCATAGAATCGAGTATAACAAAAAGGAAAAACATAGTAAAATTAGAGTAACCAAAAAAAGACAGCCGTATCATAGCAGACGATGTGAATCGTGAAAGTCGTTATACGTTTCTACACGGAAAGCAAAACGCCAACAAGATTAATGCGGGAGAAAACACCAACAAGTATGGGAGAACCGCCAACAATAATAAAAGAGCACATAGATAGGACAGGTAGGTGAAGATTTAAACCTTAACACCTTGCTTTCCAGCGGGCATGGTGAAAACCATTGGTCTGAGCAAGAACGGCGACATTGGTGCCGTAGGTGCAGAAGACGAGAAATGAGAATCAGCTTGCGAAGCTTCAGTAGCCTTTTCTTTTCGTGGGGCTTGTGGTTGAGCTGTTACTTGCTCCTCACGGGACTCATCCGAAGAAGAAGACAAAGTAGGATCACCCATTCTATTAATCTCATCTTCCACATCGGCCAAAAGAGCAAAAACATCCGAGTCAGCATAGATGCGAATAGATTCCACTGCTTTCCGTCTCGATTCTTTTTTCTCTTTGAGTTCCGCTTCGGAAAGTTGGGGTTGAGGAGTCATAACGTCGACTGTGCGATGACTTTCTCGTACAGGACTAATTCCCTTGATAGGACTTCGTGGTGGTGTAATTGTATTTACACTATTATTGCGTTTTTTAACTGAAGGAGTAGCAACGGGCATAAAGACAGCAGCGGCAACATGTTCCAATAACTTTTGACGCACTCGTGTGCGTCTGTTCTCAGCCTGATCGAGTTTAGATACCCAATCATCGATTGATGAATCGAGTTCCGATAGTGCTTCTTCTTGTTTGAGAATGGCATCATGGGAGAATTTGGCGGTGCGGGGCGAGCGGAGATAGGTGCAAATGCGATCGTGGAGATTGCGACGACCGGCACGGAGGGAACGGTGGGTTTTGCGGAGGTAGAGACAGCGTTCGTCTAGAGCGCGGAGTTCCTGGGATTGTTAGTAGGATTTTGGAAAAGGGGGAGGAAATAACATACTCTTGAAAGAGCATCCACATCTTTTGAGTTGAGAACCTCAAAGCGACAAACTTGGCCAATAGCCTGACATCTAAGTGTCTCCATTTCTGATTGGGTCAATTTCGAACTTGCTTGAGCAGCCTTGACACCCTGTGGTAAATGTTCGAAAGCCAATTGCTCCTCGGAAGTAGGAGTTCTTTTTGAATGCAAGAGCTTGGGGGCCGATGCTTTGATAGGTGATCCATCACTTCGTTTCTTAGGTCTTCCTCGATCCATTATTGAGGGACCAGATTCGGACCCTCCGCGTCGATGAGGTACATCGTGAGTCAGAGTTCCAGCTCGTGGCTGTTGAACGAAGGTCTCGGATTGATTGCGGAAATGACCGGGGGAGTTTCGTCGAGGGGTTGGGAGTGGAAGAGTGACTGAGCTGGAATTTGCGCTCTGCATGATGGATGAGGCATCTTTGACCGGTTTAGGAGATGATCGTCCGGAGAGTAAATTCATCCAAGGTTTTGGTGATGATCGACCAGCGGACATCCAAGGTTTTGGAGAAGAACGTCCTTCTCGTGGAGAACTTGGAGTGGTTGCTGCTGTAGAAGTACTAACAGATGATGAAGGGGTAAAAGGAGAAGATCTATGATGTGGAGATTGCTCCATCATTCTAGCAGACTTTGGTGGCACTTGTGGTGGCATTGGTGATCTAAGTGTACTTGGTGAAGACTGAGTACGAATTCTTGGTGGCATTGGAGCATTTCTGGACGGGATATATAGAGGAGCCAAAGATTTCGGTGAAAGTGGTCTGGGTGATTTCGAACGGCAGTTGGAATTTGATCGTTGTCTTTTCAAAACGTTGGATTCATTAATTGCGTTTTCAATCTCTGCATTCTCATCTAGAATTGGTCCCTCAATACATGCAACTAAAGATTCGCCATATGTATGTTGTCTCCATTTACCACCTGGTACACTGAAAGATCTTTCGTGTAGAGGGGGTCGTCCTGGAATAGTAGCTATTCGACGTTATTTTCAAGCATATTTATAAGGTGTTTGAGGTACTTACGAGAATCCATCGACACTTCATGTACAGTAGTCATTGGTCCTAATTCGGTGACACTTGGTTTTCTTCGTTTGTTCAATTCTTTGGGCTTTTGAATGTTGTGCTTCTCTCCTAACGCTAATGACAATGAGGATTCTGGACTTTGTCGATCCGAGCCAATCGATAGCTTTTCTTTAGAAGGAAATATACTGTATTTTCGTGGTGCTTCACTAGGTTGGTGCATTCGCCAAATATGTTTTTCTTTCTCTTCCATAACTGGGGATTCCGAAGGCTAAATATACTATGAGCAAGAACCAGCTTGGCCACGAAAAGAATTACATACAATGTCTTGAGGTGAAGAAGATACCCCCGTCTCGCGAGCTATTAAGTTATTTAAGCCAACACTGCTCGTAGCATCGACCAAGTATTCGGAAATATGAGCCATATTAGGAATTGATCCGTTTCGAAGCTCCCGGCTCGATTTTCCGATTCAATGGGTGTAGGAAAGAAAGTTCAATACTCAATTGTGTAAGAAGGAATGTGGCATATATATTAATATAGCGGAGAAAGAAACATATAAATGGACTCGATCCACTTGAAGACTCTAAGAGGCGGAAAAGACAGGATTAAGATATACTCAAGGAGTGCCAGACACTTGGACCGACCCAGCGAGGGTTCAAGTGGGGATATGTAATATTCCTAATATATTATCCCCAGTCTATAAGGTAGTGTGCAGCAGGGCCCGTTAGTGCCCTTTATTTTCTTCTCTTACTGTAGAGTGAAAATCGACTGTTTTAGCGTCTGAGATAGGCACAATGACAAGAAGGGGCTAGTAAGCACCAAACCATGTGGAAAAGTGCATATGATGCCGGATAAAGCACGGAGGAAGATAAGTTTAAACTTCGGAGTTACCTATTTGCCTCTTTCACTCAATGATACTGTACCAAGGCACTGTGCAGAATGGCTAGTGCAGAGAGGCGAAATTGTGATTTTGGCAAGTGTTTGAGGGTACTGGTGACAAAACAAGGGTGGTTGATGAAATGAAACCGCTTGGAGCTTTTGACAGGATAGTAGTTCGCTTACCTCGACGGAATCAACCAAGGGTCCGTGCTGCCCCGTGCACATTCATGGCAGCCATGTAACTGCATGGAAAACTAGGAATACACATGGAAGCTAGGAAAAAATAGGCAAGAAAAGTCGTTGACTGCATGATAATTGCAAGGAATGTAGGATTATGCCCAGGGCTATCTACTGGTGTGTAAGAAGAATTAATAGGTTCTTGTACTAGCTAGGTAGGAGAAAAGGGAGGAGGTCAAAAATAAGAGAACCGTAAGACATAAAGATTCAAGAGCTTCGTGATGATGATCAGTGGTGAATCATGTGGTACATATGTACCTACTTACTCGAGGAGGTGGCTGATTCAGGATTGGAATTTCGAGATTCATAATGTTGACATGATGACTTGATGTCATTCTGAAGTTAATCGAAGGTTGTACTGATTATCTCGGTGTAAGTTCCGGGAAGTTTGATAGATTACTTTCATCCTGCTAGTTCTGATGATCATCATGGGACACATGGAAAAGAAGCTTCGTATCAGAAGATTGGGCTACCTTGGCAAGTTGGCGATGTATCTGCACAGACGTCGATTTAGGGTTGAGAGTCTAGCAAATCGGAACAACATCTCTGATTTATTTTGTTCAAGTACCCGTGAATCAGTGGATCGTTTCTAGTTTCGGGGTCGATGTGGAGATTCTCGTTTGGAGATTAAACCCTAGAAAGTCGTCTTAACGCTCTAAAAACAGGCATAATCGCTATAATGATACTGCATCTATAGGCTCCACATCGAATCTTGGAACGAACTGACGAGAACTTCAAAACAAAATATCATGTTTTTTTGAATGGGAAATCCCATTGTGGAACAGATGGAAAGGATCCCTGGTGTTTGCTCTGTTATCTTATCATCATAGATGTCAACCGAGGTTCTTATTGCTTCACTCGTTTTGCTAACGCTGTTTCTTGATAATGCATTCTCGTCAAAAGCCTCATTATTCAAGTTCTTGAGACTAAGTTTGTTTCTAGAAGAAAGTTTCTATCATAAGAGAACTCAGTTTAGTTGCTTCCGCTACTTAATCACAAACTTAATAGACTATATGAAAGTTAATCTTATCCTTATGACTCGCCTATCATAATCATATCATATCATATCATCTTGACTTGTTTGCTATGTTCTCAATCATGATAAATTGAAAGCTACTCCAACTGTCTCACAGACTATAAAGATTTAGAAGAAATTTGGATTAACGTTCCTAATCTCCGTCATCTCGATGATCTCACAGAAAAATATCTAATTGCCTCTAAGACTGCATCCGTTCGTGTGTGTTGATAAGTTTGAAAAGCCGGTAAAGACTTCACAGTGGGGTAGACAAATGTCTCTATTCAGAAATTTATTCCGCACTTGTCTGTGCAGTCTCGACCTCTAGACTAAATTATGTGGAGAAGAACTCTCAAACCTCCTTGATACAAGAATCTAAATCTTTTCGGCACCAGTCCGGTATATTGACGAATCATTATTGACTAGGAATTGTTCAAACTCTTCATATCATTTCCGTGTTGGTCAT